GGCGGGCGGAGCGCGGAGGGGCGCCGCGGCCTCCCCGCCCGCCCGCCTCTCTCCCGCCCTCCTTCCCCCGCGGGGGGCTGAGGAGAGCCGCCCCGGGGGGGGACGACCCTGCGCGGCGGAGCCCCTCCTGCCTCGGGCGGTTAAATCCCAGCCCTCCCTTTCCTCAATATTCCCCCCCCCCCCTTTATTATTATTAATTTAAAGTTGATTAAAAAAGTGAAAAAGCAGTTTTCCTCCTCACCCCCACCCCAGCCCCTTCCCGGCTGGAAGATGGCTGAGGGGAGGCAGACGGGCCTGCGGGGGCCCGCGGACACCCCCACCCCCCCCTCGGCCAGGGAGGACGCTCCTTTTGGTGGCGTTTTAGGTGACAGCTCTTTGTCTGCCTGTGACATTGTCTGTCTGTGTCTGTCTGTGTCCCCCCAAACCAGCCCCCAACCCCGGCGGGGCGGTTCTGGGTGTCAGCAGAGGCGAGTTAAGTTCAGCGCTGAGGCGGTCGGTCAGGGAGAACCGGAGGTGGCCGTCAGGTACCGGCTGGGTTTTGGGGTCACCGGAGCGGGGAAGGGGTGGGTTGTCAGGGGGCTTGTGTGGGGAAGCGGGCTCCTCAGAGGGGGTGCCTGGGCTGCCGGCTTTGGGGGGGCTCTGCAGGAGGCTGGTGGTGAAGCTGGCGTCTGCCTCCTCGCTCCTAGCAGAGTGCTTGCCCTAAATTTGCCTCGTTTTTCTCTTGGAGACATGGACCAGCAGCAGATTGCAAATAATCCCAAATACCTGGCGGTGCGTATGCAAGCGGTAGCCCCGGTTTGTGCAGCGGGGGGGCTTTAGCCACTGGAATATGACATTTAGCGGTAGAAAAATCTGTTATGGAAAGGCTGTTTCCTTCCGATGTAGGTTGCTAGACGCGCTCAAGTCCTCCAGTTTCCTAGGTGCGTTTTGACCTTTCAGTGGCTGAGAACTGGGTCGTGCGCCTTGGGTGACGATCTCCCAATTATTTTTTTTTTTTTTTTTTTTTGTAGGACAAACACAGTATCTCTTTCACGTCTTAAGCTACCCATGCATGCACAACATTTCTTCAGGTTTTCTCAGCTTTCCAAAGGGCACAAAACCACTCTTCTAAGTCCTTGTGCAAAAACTGAGTTACAGGATGGTTGTAGAATTACATATGATATACCCGGGCGGGATCCTAGATTCGTCCGCTCCATTACTCTGTCCAAAGGCAAAATCAACTGCTCCCGTGTTTCCTGATGGAAGTAAGATCTATCTGTGCAATTTGATTTTTTCCCTCCCTTTTCTCTTGCACAAGAGAAAAAAGGTTTCTAATGCATTGAAAAAAAAGTGCTGTTTTCACCTCTACTTTTAAGAGACCTGTGAAGATTTTTTTTATTTTTTATTTCAGCTGGAAGGGAATAATAATAATAGCGAACTCAATAGTAACTGAGAGGTGTGTCAGGTTCCCAAAACAGCTCTCAGTGAGCATATTAAAACTGCTAGTTAATGCAGTGTTGAGCCAGAATGTCTCTTTTATAGAAGTACTCTGATTTTGGGTTGTCTGTTTTTCATCAACCAGCTGCACAAATCCATACCTTGAGGGTATGAACTAAGTACATGGTATTGTCAGCGTCAGGTCAGGATATCAGGACAGAGTGTAAGCTTAGGTCGCCTGCTGTCACTGTCTTGATTATTTTTTGTCTTCCTAGAAGTGATGCTTGTCTCTGATGTGAGCTGTGGCTTTTCTGTTTCTGTCTAGATCTATATGCCAGTGAGGAACTCTGGAAGCTAGAAATATGTGTGTAAATGTTCATTTTGACATGTAAAATTACTTTTTTCTCTGCTCTAGAAGCCTTAAAACGGTAACAACTTCTAAAGAAGCCTTTATCACAGCGTCGTCTGCATCTTTTTCCCATTGGCCTTTACTTCTTCTTGTGTACTTTGGATTGTGAATTACAAACAAGAAATAATTCCTAATCAGCATTCTATATTGTTACTATCCTAAAAATATTCTTAGGATCTGTTCACTATGTAATATAGCCAATTGTTTACCATTTTATTTCTGTAGCTCATAAAAATGGAATTCAGGCTTTATCTTTAAAAATGAAAAGTGAGTATGTTTATATATCATTGCTACACTTCTGCGATGGCTGTTACATGTGAACTACAACCCTTTGTTTCAAGGATAATTAGACATTTTGTGCGCTTAAATGTGGACCTATCTTTTAATGCTTAGAAGTGTTCAATTATTTATTACTTGTCAAAATTAATATTTAAGAATTTCTAACGTGTTGCTCACTATAATTTTAAGCCTCTTCCTAAAGAATCAAGAGTGCCAACATTTATCCAGTAGGAGTAGTTTGCCATGACAGCTCTCACTGCCCTAGGGTGAGAGCTCTGGTCCTGTGTAGGAGATGACTGAAGTGTTTTGTTTTCCTTCCTTCTTGACAGACACTGCCTGCAAGAACCGGCCCCTAGACCTCGTCTTCATCATAGACAGTTCCCGTAGTGTCCGACCTGAAGAGTTTGAGAAAGTGAAAATCTTTTTGTCAAAAATGATTGATACACTGGACGTTGGTGAAAGAACAACCCGTGTGGCAGTCATGAATTATGCTAGCACTGTCAAGGTAGAGTTTCCCCTCCGGACCTACTTTGATAAAGCATCTATGAAGGAGGCTATATCTCACATTGAGCCCTTGTCTGCTGGCACAATGACCGGCCTTGCCATCCAAACTGCCGTGGACGAAGTCTTCACTGAGGAAATGGGCACCCGGCCGGCAACCTTCAATATCCCCAAGGTGGTCATTGTCGTGACAGACGGACGACCACAGGACCAGGTTCAAGATGTGGCAGCAAGCGCCCGGACAGCTGGCATTGAGATCTATGCAGTTGGGGTAGACCGGGCAGACATGCAGTCCCTGAGGATAATGGCCAGTGAACCACTGGATGAACACGTCTTTTATGTGGAGACCTATGGTGTGATCGAAAAGCTGACATCCAAATTCCGAGAGACTTTCTGTGGTAAGGTGGTCAGTCCGAGAGGGTAGTGTGATTGGCTCCTTTTGGCTCCTGCTGTGGTTCCGCTCCCTAAGAAAGAACTTTTTCTTTTTGAGAAGTGTTATGTATCACATTTCAATATTTCCTTTGCCATCCACTGGGCAAACAAGCCAACGCTTTTATTCAGTGGAGGCCAAGTAATGACCTCTCATTTTGAATAGTGACTTTAGCATGCAGATAACAGACCTGATTTCAGTGGACCTTCTTGTGCAGTTGGTCCGATTTAGTGCAAGAGAAAGCACATCAATCTGGCCGGGATTTGGCTACGTATATTTACTGACTTGCCGACAGTGCACACCAGAGCTGTGCAGCCTGCTCATTTCTTTTCCCGTCTCGCTGGGGAGCAAGGAGGGTGGAAGTGTAGTACGGAAGGGCTCCTTATAGATTCAGAGTAGGAAAATCAGTGTGCAGGTGAACTGCCACTGTAGCTTGAGAAATTTGATGCAGGATGAAGTGCCCACACACCACGGCAGGTCATCTCAGGATGGGCTTTCACTCTGCAGGCATTGCTGGGCTTTTTCAGCATGCCGGACTCACACCTTTCTCTGTTTCTCTGCAACTTGATTTAGTCAGGGAACTGTGGGATTCGTTGAATTAGCTTCACTCTTTCAGGGCTTTTCTTGGAAAAATGTTGGATGTATATTTGGTTTGGGCTAGAACTCCACTAACAATGCTAGGCCAGTGTGGGTTGTGATTGTCATTTCCAGAAAAAAAAGGTCATGTATCTGGAGTATTTAGAACTGCCTATAGAGAGCTATGACACAGCCCTACTCACAAATCAAACGACAACTTTTTGACAATTAAAAAACTTGTATGAAGTAGATTTTTCTAGTAAATTTTTAAGGAAATCACTTGTAAAATAAGTCTCCGGCAAGTAACGGGTAAAATCAGGTGTAAAGAACATTATAAGAGAATTAAAATAACAGCCATTGCCTTGGGAACTTGGTTGGCAATGTGTTACTTCATTCTTTCAGAGCCTTACTAGAAATTACCACCATACCTTTTGAATACGTTTAGAGTGAATAGACCTCTTTTTCTAGGTATTAAATAAATGTGTAGGACCATCTGCAGACAGGACACTTTGCCTAGTAATTAACATAGGAGATGCCTTGAGGTTTGGCTTGACATCATGCTGTGTTGCTAATGTGACCAGATCCTCTCTCTGGTAGCTGGAAGTGGGTACAAGGGCCCACCTAGCTGGACAGGTATGTGTGCTGTGAACATAGCACTGATTTTCCACCTATGTTCTCGCCAAAGCAAGTCCTTTCATAGCACCAAAGAAAAATCTCTTGTTCTTAAGAGTAAACTTTCTGTTTATTGTGCCAAAGCATGGAAATTATGCCCCTACTAAGCTGGAGGATAAACCAAAGAGAGCTCACACATACGCACTTCCAGTGTAACTCTGAGTTGCCTGTGTGCAATTAGCCAGAATGTGTGGGATTCGTGAACAAGAACAAGGTAAAGGGAATAGTTTTAAAAAACATTCCTACAAACCGAATGAATCTAAGAGGGTCTTGTAAGGCAGTGTGGGTAAACTGGGTCTTTTCCAGCTCCAGACTGCTTTTTGGTCAGAAATCCAGACTCACCAGTGACAATTAGGATTTTCTTTGCTTTGGCCAAGGCAAGCAGATTTGTTTGTAGGGTGAACTGAAAACAGGAAAACTAATGTTCAGCGGCAAAATAGTTGGCTAAGATCAAGTTCTTGATGCATTGAGAGCATCATTCAACATGCCACCATCCTGGAGATGGAAAATCTTAGCCTTGAATTGGTGTCCAAGTCAGTGGAAGCTTGACTTTCCTGCCACAAAAATCTGACCATTTGAGTCTGAGCTTCTCAGTTATGCTTGAAAATATCACCCACAGATTTTGTTTGTAAGTCATGGAGATGAATTCTCTTTTTCCCAAGGGGGTAGCAGAGTGAAAAGATGCTGTCTTGGTTTGAGATTTGTTTTTACCAATGGAAAGACAAGACACACTTTCTCTTGGTCTTATTATGGGACATCTAAATCTTCCATGTTTTGAAAATGGGAAATGTTGCCTTGCATTCAGAAGTACATGACAAGATTCAAGCACTCTTGCTTCTCATTTCTTATCTCACCACTATTGCTTTGGAGTTTGATTTTACCAGTAGTCCATACCCATATTGTAACTACTCATCTAAGTCAAATTTCAGGTGGTAACAGACTTGTCTTCCCATTTTTCTCCTTTTCTATTTTGTTTCCTCCTTCTTTCTTTCCTTCCTTCCCCCTTTTTTCTCAACCTTTTTTTTCTCCTCCCTTCTCTCTCCCCTTCCCTTTTCCCCCTCATCTGAAAATCCTGTAAGTTCAAGTGAGTATCAAGGTTTCCTTTACAGTCTGCGGAAAGAAACAGGGGCATCCTGAGGTGACCAAAGAAATAGCACATCCAAAAGAAAGAAGAGTTGGTCAGAAGTTAATTAGTTGTGTAGTTAGACCATCTGTGAAGGAAAAGACTGTCAGCACACACAGTGCATTGCAGAGACAGCCCAGCATTACAACAGTCATTTTGTGTGCCCTGTCACCACAGCACACTTCTATCAGCTGCCATCCATCACGCTGCTTTTCCTATCTCTGGTTTCTGTTTTCTCAGTCTGATGAGATAGCCTTACTGTTTGCTGGGAAATTAGTTGGTCCCTGAAAATTGAATCTCATTTTGTAGTTTGCAGTTTCAGCTTCTCTGAAACGTCTCTTCTGAAGTTTTGACATTATTGCTGTACTGTCTTTCAATTAGGAGGTTCACGTGCCTTACTGTAGAAACTTTCCTCCACATCCCCTTTTGGTCTTGACTTTTTAAATCTGATTGATCAAGGCAGCTGCAGCCCTCACATACCCGTCTTGCACTGGTGGGTTTCTTTGCTGGCTGGTATATTTGGACCATCATTATGCAGACACTCTTTTCATCCCTGAGAAAATGGTGTGTTATCCTAGTGCCTCTAAGTAATTTTTCTCTTCCTCCTGGTCTTGATGCTCTTTCTGTTGCAGTTTTTATTTTATTTTATTTTACTTTCTGTTCCTTTTTGGTTTACATGGGAGTTTTGTACAGTGCAGCAGGAATTCATAAATCGGGTTGTATGCCAGCGAGCAGAAGTTAGTAAACTGCCAGACGGTGACTGACACATTTTGGGATTATTTCAGCTGGTTGTCTGTAATAGAAAGGGACTGGATACAAAAAGCCAGAAGGTCTTTTCATTGCCGAGTTCTATTTCCAGTGTAATGCTACTAAATGCTTAAAATCTCTCCCTTTTGCACCCTTTTCAATTCATCTTGTCGTTCTGCCACCTCAGGTGGTGAGTTATTTCAGTGCAGTTGTGCCAGTGTCATTTATGACCTCTTTCTTCTGGCTACAGAATGATGCAAAAGATGCCTGTAACTTTCTGTGGCAGTGACACAGTGCTGGCATTTACTACTACTAATCCAGCAAACAGTGCAAGATGTACTTTTGTGAGCATAAATTATTAATGACTGTTTCTTTCCTTTGGCATGACTGAAATGCCTTTTCTGTAAATGCCTTTTGTAGCTGCGAATGTGTGTGCACTTGGGACCCATGACTGCGAGCAGGTCTGTGTGAGTAACGACAGATCCTACCTTTGTGATTGCTATGAAGGCTATACTCTGAATCCAGATAAGAGAACCTGCTCAGGTATTACTCCTTCGGTAAATGTGTTCAACTAGAAAAAAATCACTTTTTAACACCATAATTGGATTTGAGAAGCTACTTGTGTACATCTGTTGAAACAGTGAACATCTGTCTCTCCTTCAATAATAATAAATCTAGTAATAAATAATAAATAAAAGTCTGCTGCAAGTAATGGTGAGTAGTTTCATAAATCTAATAATAAATAATAAATAGAAATCTGCTGCAAGTAATGGTGAGAAGTAGTTTCATTCCATCGCCATCCTTTTATTATGCCTACAGATCCATTCATTAGGGCCAGATGCCAAAACAAAGTCTTCAGATGTAGACACTGTATAGATATTTTCTCTGACCATTTACTCTAATTCCTTCAATTACTATTGCCATTTATGAGCTGATTCCAAATAGAAATATTTTCGAAAATGTGAATATGCACTCCATCCCAAACTACTTTTTATTAACAATGAATTGTTTCTCTAACATGCATCTTGTAGCTGTGGACATGTGTGCACCTGGCAGGCATGAGTGTGATCAGATCTGTGTGAGTAACAATGGATCCTATGTCTGTGACTGCTATGAAGGCTACACCCTGAATCCAGATAAGAAAACTTGCTCAGGTAAGAATTAAAGGCTTCTTTAATACGTGAAACTCATGGAGACATGGATGTGTTTTCTGTGAGTTACCTTCATTGTTTCTGATTGAAAAATTGCTTACAGACATCAACTCTTAAAATGAGAATTCACCTGTACACTTTCCCCTTGGTTCCAGTAACAGTAAAATTGCATTTTTCTTTAAACGCGTTTTCTTTAAATGTGGCACTTAGGGACATGGTTTAGTGGTGGACTTGGCAGCGTTAGGTTAACGGTTGGACTCAATGGTCTTAATGGTCTTTTCCAACCTAAATGGTTCTATGATTCTATTACAGAAATGCAATTTGGCACTTAAGTACCATTTTATGGTCTTCACAATACTTCATAAACATCACTTAGTCCCTGGGAGAGGATGAACCTATATTCCAGAGATGCCCACCAGCACCATGTCTCCATTGGAGAGTGAGTGCCACTAGTCCACAGGGAACTTAAAACCTGATGATTTTCCCCTGTCGTCTCCATCTCTCTTGTCGAAACTCATTCTTTTTTTACAGCTTGCTGGTTCTGCTTCCAAGCTGTGCAGGGATCTGCAATATAGCAACCCCCGTCTTTCTTACACTTGCAGCAGCTTCTTGAATTGTCACCCTGAAAAGTTAGCATATTATAAGAACTTTTTTCCCCCAAATACTTCTCTGGTGGTTTTTTTTTTTTTTAAATTCAGAAGTTTTGAGCAGCACCAGCCTTAGGGTAGCTATTTCATAACTGGTAAGTGCATCTCTCCCTTTGAGAGCACATAAGCATTCTTCTCACTGAAGTTTTCACTCTTCTTATTTCTGAAGAGAGAACATAATCTTCTAGTGCTCCTGCTTTTTTGTTTGTTTGCTTCTCACTAGCCTTTATATCTCTTTGCCATTTAATAGCATTTCTACATGTCATGCCTGGCTTTTTGTGCCTGCCTTCAGCTCATGGATGAAAGTATGAAGTTAAATTTGGATTCACCATAGTTACTGCTAATATTGCAAGAAACAGCTTCTGCCTTGACATGTGACAGGTTATTGCTCATCTCAGTATGGTGTTTTAGCTTCATCCTTACTGGGGATATTCAGGGCTGTTAGAATTGCAGATGAAAATCAGAACTGCGTGAGATGTGGTATAGTAATGTCTTGCTGTCCCAGTATCTGCCTCCTCCATTAAATAATTAGTAACTGGATTCAGTTGTCTGCAGCATAATATAATAATATAGTAGGGCACTGACTGAATCCTAATTTGAATCCTAATTAAATTGTATTTATAAATGTTGAAGCATTAAGACTCTTGAGTGTCTGGGAGGGATTAATAGGTTTCTTTTCTAAAACATGGTTCGCCACAGCCATGGACATGTGCGCACCTGGAAGGCACGATTGTGCACAAGTCTGTCTGAGTAATGACGGATCCTACAGCTGTGACTGCTATGAAGGATACACTCTGAATCCAGATAAGAAGACTTGCTCAGGTAAGACCTGATCAAAGAAATACTGTATTTAGCTAAAAGCAAGTAGCTTTTAAAAATCAGGTTAATTTATATTATTTTTCTGATGAATTATCCAAGAGTTTCTGTGCAGCTCCTGAAAACACAATGCAACTTTATTTCTTCATGTGTCCAGTAATAATTTGAGATGAGAATTCACCTGTACACTTTCCCCTTGGTTCCAGTAACAGTAAAATTGCATTTTTCTTTAAACGTGTTTTCTTTAAATGTGGCACTTTTACAGTTGTGAAGCTTGTAACTGCTGTTATTAAAATGCCATTTGGCATTACTCTGAGGACTTCACAATATTTTCCCACCCACGGAGCACGAATTGCCGTATCCACCTGAGAGAGGGGAAGGATAATATATTTGGGGGAATATGTGATGTGCACTACCTGTGCCAGAAACCTCTTCAACAAAGCAGCACAAGGGAATGAGATAAAGAAGAGCAAGGACTGTGCTGGGAGAGAGATTACAGTCTGTATCATCACAAGTGTGATCACTCTTTTCGGTAGATGTGTTTGAACCTTAAAAAATACTACAGCCTTAGAGCTCTAGAGGATGGAGGGAAACGTTCTTTCCCAGTGCTAGTCTCTTGTGGACAATAGGAGCATAGATGTAGCTAGTACTTAAGGATGTACATATAAGTATATAGTACCTACAAATGAATATGTATTCTATATTATTTTCACTTGATTAGGATTTGAACTTCAGTCTTCATTTCTTTGGATGTCTCACTGATGATTTATTTATGCAAAATCCTTTTTTTCACTTCCATCATAATCCCTTTCCTTATGAGATTTTGTCTGACAAAGTGCTGAACCTCAGCTTCGAATTCCAGGAGGTTCCTAGGCAAATCTCTCCAGTTAAATCATATATGTCTCGCATCTCAAAGAGGTGAAGCCAGAGGGCCTTAATATTTCTTCCTGCCTAGTTTAGGAGCTGATTTTGTAAATACAGTTCTTAAGATTAACTCTCACCTGGCATTATATAGACACAGTAAACATCTGTGAGGGAATGTGAATTAAGTTAGGAATCCCCTTTGGAAGTTGAACCCTGAACCTCCTTTCATAACACTGATTCTCCCCCAGCATAGTCAAATTTCAGATTATTTCCCTAATATGCTTGCTTTTTTTCTCTTTTGAATCTCATTTTGCAATAGGCTGCTAATGATTTCTCAACCATCCAGGTCTTTGTGATATAATAAAAATAGTCTAGGTCCAGGAGGGAGTCTTTTCTTTTTCTTTCTTTCTTTCTTTCTTCTTTTTCTTCCTCTTCTTCCTCTTCTTTCTCTTCTTTCTTTGCTTGTGCCTTACTGAACCATCTTACTGCAAAGATATCCAAATATAGAAACTCCTTCTCAGCTTGGCCTTTCAGAGTTGACGTGTTAAATTTGGCAGAAAACATCAGCCTCACACATCAAGTGCCCACTTTGTAACTGGCAGTGGGTGCCACGTCTCTTTTTTTCCGCAGCCATGTATACTCTTCTGTTTATGGTCTTTTCACTCCATAAACCAGTGTCTTATCCCACTCAATTACAGCTGAAATAATGCCAAATAGTCTTTAAATCCAGATATTTGTTCTCTGAAATTCCTTTGGATAATTATTTTGTAACTGGGTCACTGCTAGTTTGGTTCCTTTTGCAATCTGTTACAACTGCAAAGAAGTGTTGCCAGTGTTCCAAAAATCATATTAATTTTGTGATGTTGGTAGCCAGATAAAAACATGCTCTGTATACCTTACCATGGCTAATAGCGTGCTGACATGCAATAAAACCGTCCTGTTTTGAATCTAAATGAAGATTTGTTTGCAAATGGGAATTACTAGCATCAACTAAACTGAAGTTTGGCTATTGGCTAATATTATTCTCTTCTCAAATGCCTTCCTCAGCTGTCGACGTGTGTGCACCTGGAAGGCATGACTGTGAGCAGGTCTGCGTGAGAGATGATCTGTTCTATACCTGCGACTGCTACCAAGGCTACACCCTGAATCCAGACAAGAAGACTTGCTCAAGTAAGAGCAGATTGCTGTTCCCTATCCCCCTATACCTTCCCCAGCTAGGTACATGTATTGAAATAGCTCTCATTAGCAGGTTAATGTATTTGGATCTGTTTGAGAAACTTACATGTGCATTCAGGTGTTTTAAGACAGTTCTACATCTCTCTGCCTTTTCCACTTTGAGCAATATTTAGAGATATAAAGCACTTTATATGCAACAATGCTAGTAACTGCTTACCATTTGATCTTTCTTTATCATCTTATAACTAAGGCTTTCACTGTATTTTTAAAAATTATGCAACATTCAGCAAACCCAGAACTGAGAAATAATTGAAGCGAGAAGAGCTGGGGTTAGTCACAGTTACACACTTTGCAGTACTGTGGAAACTACAGGAGACAGCTTGAGGTGATGTCCTCCCCTCCAGGCTGAGTTTCATTTTGCTGTTTGTTTCTTTAGCTTCTCAATGACTTTGTGTTATAGTAAAAATGTAATCATATTACAAGTGCTTCTTTCCATCCCGGTCTCCTTACTGTGAAGTTACTGTATACTGGAAACTTTTCCTTGCGTGTCTTTGGAGGTGATCTGGCACTTCACATCTGGTGGGGTTAGGCAGCTGTGGTCAGGGTGAGCAGAGTGTACAAAGTAAGGACTGAGGGAGACCCCAGTAAGGCAGTTAGTTCATGTCACTGCTCCAAGGCAAGATCAGTTACACATCTCAGTAGTTGCTGGTAAGATTCACGTAGGATAGGCTCCTAGCATGGAAAAGCATTGCCATTGGGAAGCATTAAAAAAATGTTATCTTGTTTTTGGATAACTGTTTCTCCAAAATGCATTCTGTAGGAACTGAGGTATGTGCACCAGGAACCCATGACTGTGAGCAGGTCTGTGTGAGTAATGGTGGATCATATACCTGTGACTGCTATGAAGGCTTTACCTTAAATCCAGATGAGAAAACATGCTCAAGTAATTAATGTGTTTTTTTTCTAAATATATTTCTTGAAGTACCTCTCTTGAATAAATCCTTTTAATCTGTTTGACAAACATTCTAACAACTCATAAACTCCCTGAAAGTATAATCCCTTTTCATTCTTTTCTGCCTGTTTCCACTAATGTTTTGAGCTAGTTTCATCCTTCTTGTTTAGTTATAGCAGTAACTGTATTTAAAACGACAGTTGACTCTTACCTATCACCACACATTTAAGGACTTCACCGTATTTAAAAAAAAAAATTGTTATAATCTGCATTTCCTCATGAAATGGGAATAAGTGGGGGGATTGGTAAGGCAGGGTTCTGGGGCATCTGTCTCTGGGGCATGGGACTCAATTGTGTACCAGCATTCAGAGGATGGCAGAGGCCAGAGGGGAACAGAACTAGGGTCAGAAGAACTACTGCAATGCTAAACCGTATGTTCTTGTCCATTCCTCCAAGCTAAGAGGGGCAGGCATGAACTCACCAACTGTCTTACCTTCAGATGGGCAATGATGGCATCAGCTGTTGGCAGAACCTCTGCACCATTTGATATGGGATCATAAGTAAAGTTGGGTTGGAAGGGACCTCAGGAGGTACCTAGTCTGATCTCTGGTTCAGAGCAGGAATAACTTGCCATTACATCAAGTGGCTAAAGACCCTATGTAAGAGCAAAGTTATAAAATAGGTGGATATAGCCAAACATCATCTGCAAAAATAGTAATTTTTTTGTAGATCTGGACTTAAACATAAATGGCGTGTAAAAACACAGCTGTAGCATGTTTTGTATGACTTGCTGGGCATCTCAGTGGCAATGGGAGTGTCCAGGATTTTGAATATCAAATACTGGAAGACTGTAAATTTCACAGAAGGACTGTAGAAGATTTCAGGGTACCCTTGGGCAGTTGCCAAAGTTGGTTGGAAAAGTAATTTTGTTAAAACAGACATAATCCAAGGAGGATCTGTATCTGTCATTGGAGAATTTAAATGCAAACATAAAAAAATTAACTGGTAGTTGGTTGGAAACCAACGATGTTGGTGTGATATTTTGAACTGGCCTTCCTCCAGCTGACTCTTGAACAGCTCTTCTTTGTGCATTGACCATAAAGCCAGTGGAACGTTCCAAAGAAGGGAGCTGAACAAATACAGGTTCAGTGGAATCAAGGGGACACCAGTTTCAACATTGGCTCTAAGACAAATGAATTTCTGCACTGCTAGAAATGAATCTGTTCATAGATTTTGCAGTTTCCCTGCAAAATGGAAATATCAATGGCATGATTGATAAACAAAAAAAGAAACCAAAACAATTCAGAAAAAAAGAGAAATTGTATCCAGGTACAGTATTTCTGTTGTTTTACTGTTATAATGCTCACATGATGTGTTTGCCATTGATCAGCTATGCATTTATATATCTTCAGAAAAAATCATTCAATCATCTGCTATCATTGCCTTTGCAAGCAATGTAAAAAAACCATGTATAAAGAGACAGGTATTGCATACAAGTAATACTTCTTGATAACTTGTTGAAAGGGTATTTCATAATTGTAGGCGTTCTTTTAAGAAGGCTCTGCCTTTGGAAACTTACTATTCTGGTCTCAGATGTAGATGGTAATCTCACTACAGTACCTGTGCTTCAGTAGCTGTTGATATATTTGTTCTTATTCTGTCACAAGTGGTGCAGCTTGCCTTAATCCCTATTTTCTTTATGGAGTAGGTGAGGTTAAATTGTCTTTCATGTAGCTAAGAACTCAGAGCCATCAGCTGATGCCTGACATTATTATACCACACTGAAATTATAATCTCTCTGAGCCCTTTGTGATCATCCCTGGTTTTGTGGTGGATTATGGAGAAAAAGGAATTCTTGAGGACAGCTGGGACTGGTCCCCTCTAAGTCTGGAAGACTGAGGGCAAGACCTAGGAACAGATTTAATGGAACCACTGTAGAGTATGGCAATGCTTGCTTTCTCTTTCTTAAGAGACTGATGACTTCTCTGTCATACTAACTGGCTCCTCCATTAATATTGCTGTGCCTTTCTACTTGATTTTAAATTCATTTAGGCGTATTTGAATGTTGTTGTTCCCGCCATCCATATTCATGTGACATTGGAATGGACTTGTGTTCACACTTCTTGAATCAAAAATGATACTCCCTATGCATGCATATTGCCAATATTACAAACTTGTAGGGTGATACACATTGATGACTTAGCTGAACATTTATTGCTTAGTATTTAAAATTAACACGTGTTCCTGCTTTCATTTTTGTATTATTTACCAAGTGGTAAATTAAATTCTCCTAATTCTTTCCCAGGCTGAGACTTAGGTATCTAAATTCTACCCACATCTTAGAAGTTGATGCAAACTGACCAATTTCTGACACTGACTGACTGTATCTGCCTAAAATCATGTGCCTTCCTGCTTGGCTTGCAAAACTCCTGGAGGCTTAACTTTGGACTAAGAGATTCTCAGAAGTGCTGTGTTTGGGAGGGATGGGTACTTGTCGTGGTTTCAGCCCAGCTGGTAACAAAGGACCACGCAGCCGCTCACTCACTCCTCCCATCCCCCTCCGGTGGGATAGGGGGGAGAATCGGAGGAGAGAAAAGGAAAAAAAAACGGAACCTCGAGGGTTGAGATAAGGGCAGTTTACTGGGACAACACAAAAAAATAGAGAAGTTACAACAACAACGGTACTAATAAAAGAATATACAAAACGAGTGATGCGCAGTGCAACTGATCACCACCCGGAGTGCTCCACCAATTCCCCCATGAAAGCCCCCCAGCCCGCTCCCCAGTTATATACTGGGCATGATGTCACATGGTATGGAATAGCTCCTTGGCTAGTTCAGGTCAGCTGCCCCGGCTATGCCCCCCACCTCCCAGGTTCCTGTAAAAATTAACTCTATCCCAGCAGAACCCAGGACAGTACCCCAAATGCCATTGCAATCCAGCTTTCACAGGGCAGCAGCCTTGATTTTGTATAGATAGATAGATTTAGATTCTGTTTATGTACATTTAGATATGAGGAAGAAATCCTTCACTGTGAGGGTGGTGAGGCACTGGAACAGGTTGCCCAGAGAAGCTGTGGATGCCCCATCCCTGGCAGTGTTCAAGGCCAGGCTGGATGGGGCTTTGAGCAACCTGGTCTAGTGGAAGGTGTCCCTGCCCATGGCAGGGGGATGGACTAGATGACCTTTAAAGGTCCCTTCCAACCCAAACCATGTTACGATTGTATAATTCTTCTGAAGAGAAGCCCAGCAAATTAGTCATGGCCTTAAATACATCTAATTGAATAGGTTCTGTTTGCAGTGATGCCAGTGGCCTTCCCGTGTGGATAGTCTGATGGTCAAAGTACTAATTAGAAGATGGAGACCTGGACTGCAGGTTCTTCTCAGTCTGCATCACCTGAACACACTCATTCTACTTCCCAGGGTGCCCTGCCTTTTGGGATGGGGGATATTCTGGATGAGAGGGAAAGATAACAGGCAAAGGGAAGATTCACTCTAGTCTAGCAATTACAGTTGATGGGGGAGGCTGGTTGGTCCCTGCATCCAGGCCTCTTTTTATATTTTGCTCAGTATTGTTCTAATTTAAAGAGTATAGAGGATCCAGGTAGGCAGGCGAGGAACTCCCTGCTCTGCCTTCTCCTCGGTTAGAGCCAAGCTCTCTCTTGCCTGTCGTGTTTCTGGACTGTGACACTCATGTCTCTGGGTACACACCAGCCCCTGTTCACTGCCGTCCCTCCTTGCCAGCTGCCCTGGGTTGCAGTACTTGCTGTAATCTCACAGCATGAGTTCAACTCCTGTTGCAGAATCTAGCATTTTCCTGGGATTTAAATGTTCGATAATTGTCATAAATATTCTAAATGCTGGTTTCTCTTTCAGGAGCCATAATGAGCAGCCTCGTAACAACTGAAGAGTCATGTAAGTGTGAAGCCATAGCTGCCCTGCAGGACTCAGTCACCTCACGCCTTGAAGCTCTGTCCACAAAATATATCCTTTTTCTTACATGATCTTCTGCATTCAGCTCTTTACTGGTATTTTAAAGGTAGCTGTTTTGATATAAGCCAGGGAAGGATATACAAAACCAGAAAGTATTTTCATGGTGATTTTAGAAATGTTATGGAGCAAAATCTCGGGTTGTTGCAAATACCACTATGTTTTCACATTTCATTGAAGGGCTTTAGTATCAAGATACAGATAAAATGCATATGCCCACATCTCCTAGATTATATATGCTATGTTGAACATCAAGCACTGCTCTATTCTTCCAGATGACTTTTACAGTTACAGCAAATGCTCAGTTTTGAGCCCTCCTATTATGTCCCAAAATTTTCAAGACAACGTCACAGGCAGTGTGACAACAGTCCCATTAGCTGGGATATTCCTCTGCGTCCCACCCCTGCAGGCAGGCACTGTCCCAAGCAATTTTCATGCACCTTCTTCTTTTCCGTGAAAATGTGCTAGCTCATTAATATCCAGCTGCTGGGATATATCAGAATGGGCGAGCTGCGAGGCAGGGTGCCAAGGTTGGAGGCACTAGGCAAGCCTTGGGTCCATGGGACATCCAAGGTGCAGGATGGTGGGTGCCAGCAGTGCTGCGCTGGAATTTGCCAGCTTCATTTGCTGCAGTGCAGCGCTTGCGGCAGTGAAGAGAAATGTGGTCAGCCCCCAGATTAGACGTTTCACAAACATGTGGGAGAGAAAAAAACCAGCAAAAAAAGAGAAAGCGGTCAACTCTGTGGTACCACAGCAAACCTGAATGCTGGAATAAATGCCCTCAGATGGCATGGCAGGAACTAATAACTGGAAGTTAAATTTGGGCAAGCTGTGATTCAATATAGGGCACAATTTTTAGAAGTTAGAGTGGTTGATGACTGTTACAATTTACCAAGGATTGTGGTAGATTTTCATCACTGGAAATTTTTGAGACTGCATGCTTTTTTCTGTAAAAGGTGCTCTTGTTCAAATAGGAATTGATTTAGAGGAGCACTATGTCTGTGGTTGTCATCCTGATCCCTGGGGCTTCAAAATCAAGGAAGAGTGGGGTATGTAGGATTAATCAAAGGAGGAGAGCAAACTAGAAGTTTTATATGTGAACTCATCATTTATACAGATAAATTATTTTTTCAGTTTGCCAAAGTTGCTGAAAGCCAAATGAAAACTTCTGCCAAAGACACAAGACTTTCACACTTCTTGAATAAATTCAGAGGTTTTTTTTATAAGATCTAACTGCAAATCCCTCTTCTTGCAGTGTGCTTGGAGTTCAGTTTATCTGCCTGGGGAAGGTGAAGGGAAGACTAATTTTCCTTGGATTATAATATATAATTCCAGGGCATCTAAGTAGTTAAAACTGAACACCAAGATAATTAAACCTATAATGTCATCTCAATAGTAGCCCATCCTTCGGGGAACAATCTTTCTGCCCCAAAGAGCTAATGTTAAGCAAGAAAATGCCGTGGTTTCAAGTTAGGAATATTCTTTATTACTAAGAACTGAGGCTTTCTTTCAAAGTTATTCTTTGGTGGGCAATTTCTATCCCTAGTGTCCTTTCAAGATCTCTAAAATGTTTTGAAATCTCTGGTTCAAGCATGTATTGACCTCATTTAGAAAGCAGACTGTTTGTTGAAAATACAGCAATGAGAAAGACTATAAATAAACCAAACCTTATAGCCACCTATTATATTGTCCTTAACAACTGTCCACTAGATGAAGTATCTGAGAAGCTGCAGGCATATCAAGGCAGACAGCAGGTTGTCTGAGCTATCATTCTACTTAATTTTAAAATAACCTTTCAGAAGCAGTCCTTTTTATTGTGTTCAGCTAGCTTTATTTTGTTGCACAGCTTACAAATCAACAGTTGGTTTGTTATTATTGACAAATGTCAGCAAGACTTCAGGAAGACAACTGTCTTGAAAATACAGTGACCCTGAGGATCTTCATGTACAGTCACTTTATAACCATAAAGCTACCTATACCTGCTGTGCTTCAGTTTGTACTACAAGTAGTACAGCAGGTACTGCTGTTCTGCAGTAACTGCATTTTTATTCTCTTATTTAAAAGTAAATACAGAAAAAATGAATGGATACAGTATATCACATTATATAAAACTGTGAAATGGCAAGACGAGTAAAAAATGTGCCTATGTCTTCTGTCCATTAAATGGGAAAGTTAGTTGGGATCTTGTAACTTATTTTAATAAAATAAAGTATGATAAGCACACTGATGTTGGAAGATTTTTGTATACAACTTAAAGGATGTGTGTTATGAAATAAAGGGTTTAACAAAAACAAGGTAGCAAAACCCCAAAGATAAAGGAGGCACAAATGGAAGAAATGCACAGAATTAAACAGGATGCTATCCCCAAGTTACTTAGTTCGAAAAAGAACCATTTGATTTTAAAACCTGCAAGTCCTTGTTAATATAGATGAAAGGTTTAATAGTAATTTCAAGTATTAATAATGTTGTTTAACACTCAGAAGGATGAAAGATGTCCCCCAGTTTAAGGTTTTTATCCTGCGAGATTTACTTATGTTATTAGTCAGTCATTCCTGTTGTCATACCATGGACTTTACTGAGACTACATATGCCAGTTGGGCTTGCAGGATGAAACACAAAAGCTAACAATTTAAAAATTTAATTATTAAAGGAATCCACTTGTTTTGCACACTTGGCATTTATAATCATCCAAATGCTTTAGAGACTAAAAAAATAAATTTGAAGATTAAGTCAAAACTATTATTATTATTTATTTTCTTTCTAGAATTGAAAAATCCATGTAGAGCTTTGCAATATAATTACACAAAATATTGTATCAGTAGCTGGTACATCAAGGGCATATTATAACATCTGTGCTTGCTTCATGCCCTGCACATAATAGATACAAACAATTGCAAGGAAAATCGGTGGGCAGAAGTTCAGTTGTCATGTTTACTGCACATGCCAGTGAGACTTCAGGTATGTCTATACAGTAATGTTAAGTTAGAATATAATACTAAATACCATCGGTGAACATGGGACACAGTTTCAGCAAGGGCTACAAATGAGATCATAAACTCTCCAAGACTGCTGGACTGGTCTGTTGTTGATATTTTGTGATGTGTCCCCACAATATTAATTTTCTGTAGTTCAATTAAAGTTAGCATGGGGCAACCTAGCTATGCTACACTTACTTCCTCAAAGTGCTGTGTATGCATACTTTTTCTGTAAGTCATGGAGTTCTGTATCCAGGACTTTGCTTACTTTTATGTCTTCTGCTTAGACTTGGGAATTAAACAAGGATTTACAGGGCCAGAAGTATGCCTTGGCCTCCGTAATTGGTAAGAATAAACAAGTTGTAAATCTAATGCAAGACTTTCCAACTTCTTGGCAATTGGGAGTAGATGACATCAGTCCCATTTACACTAAGGCCAGCTGTCAGATGAAATGTATAATTTTATATGATAGTGGAAAATCGTCCTGGAGGCCAGATGTGACTTGCAAGCTGTCAGCTGGGCAGGTTTTCTTTAACGCGTTAGTATTCATAACTCCATTTTATGTTACAAATGATAGTGTTTACATTCAATTTCTCTGAGCAGTTATCTTGTCTCGCTTTGTGTTTGTGAGCACCAGGTAAAATTCCAAGGGGATATAAGCGATTTCTTTAAAATAGGACATACCAGCATGTCCTACTGACTGAACATTTTTATTTTAAAGGTAGATGTACTTTTTGATATGGAATGAGTAATTATACTGTTTTAATTATTGGGGCAGTAGAACTTTAATGCAGAGAACTGTTATGGAAAGAACTAAATTTGATTTTTTGGATGCTATTTTAAAATTATTTTTATTCTGAATAGAATAGAGTAGAATAGAATAATATTTCAGTTGGAAGGGACCTACAACAACGTAGTCCAACTGCCTGACCACAGGCATTTTCTAAATGACCTTTAGCTCTCTTACCTAAAATGCTTACTAGGGTTCAGCCAGCTTTGCTTTATAGTTCTGTCTTATGTATGTGCTTCCAAGTTGGCCTCAGTCAAAAAGCTGGATTCAGTGCTCCTCACTGTTGTATGTTCATGTAACTTGAATAAAATGATCTGATGATAACCTGTGTCTGGTTCTATCTCTCTGCATTTCCAGATAGCCTCTCTGAGAAGAGGGGAATATGCTGAACTTGAGGAGATTCAAGTTTGAGAACTTGGCTTTGTCATGATTCTCCTTTGACACTGAACAAATTGCTTATATTTCAGTGTTTGTGTTGTGGATAAATGCACTGTGGAACGCTTAGCTGCTATGAAAGCAAGGGGAATGCCCTGGGAGACATGGCACTTCCATGCTTCCGGTAAGAAGCACACGACTTTTTAGAGCAGAATGCACAAGACACAGGACAGACTGTCTTCTGTACATCTCCCACCTTCCTCTTTTCTGTCGATCAGCTGCAAAACAGCTCTGGTATGGAAAAATATTTATTTTGCAGCTGGGTCCAACCTAGCCTGGAGTCAGTACTGCAGAGCCAGGCTGTTCCTGAAGCCCCTCGCACACCTCCTGTGGGCACAAATCCGGGCTCGATCCTTCCCTCCGGACTGCTCAGTGTCCGAGAGCTTTGTAACAGCAGCCGTGGCGCTTGCCTATCCTCTCTGACCCCCTGAATCAAGGCATTATTTATTCATCCGTGTATGCGAGCGACTGACTGACCAGCCCTGGCTGCGGGCGCAGGCAGCACCTTCTGAGGGAGCAGCAGGAATGGCGTCCAGCGCCTGCGGCCTCAGCCACAGCCACCGGTTTCCTCAGTGAGCAGCGACGCCTGGGGCAACTCGGAGAACGTACTGATGTCAGTTGCACTAAAAACACTGCGTGCAAACACTCCGGGACTCGCAAGCTTTCGGATCTTCCTCCATGTAAAAGCAGAGCGACCTTTTATTAATCAATTACCCGTGCTTCCTACCCAAGCTGAGCACGACCGTTAACCACTGTGCCGGGGCGGGCAAAACCCCCCAGCCCACCTCCCCGCTCAGGGGCCCATCCTCCGCCGTCCCTGCCGGCTGTCAGGCGGTCTGTCAGGCAGGGAGGGAGGGAGGGAGGGAGGGACGGACGGACGGCGCCTCAGGGCTGCCGCCGCCTCAGCCGCCGCCTGAGGGGCGGCAGCACGTTAACGGCGCCTTTCTTCTCCCGCGCCCGGAAGTAGAGGAGCGCGGGCCCGGGGGGGCGGGAACTTCCGGCGGCGGTTGCCAGGGTGACGCGGTTACCAGGGAGGCCGCGCTGGGCCCGCCATGCCGCGCCCCGCCGGGCCGCCGTGAGGAGCGGGGTCGGGTCGGCCGGCGCCCCTCGCCCGCTCCGCCGGGATGTTCATCTACCTGTGCAAGAAGGTGCTCCTGGGGCACGGAGGAAAGCCGGGGCGGCGGGGGGGCAGGCAGCCCTCGGGGCAGGCGGAGTTCTCCGCTCCCCACCACGGAGCCCCCGGGGGTTGGGACCGCGGAGGCCTCGGGGCGCCGAGGGGACCCCCGGGGCGCTGAGGGGACCCCCGGGGCTCCCTCCCGCCGCCTGCGGCCGCTGCGGCTCTGCTGGCGCCGGTGGTTGCGGCCGTGGGCTTGGTCCCGGTCCCTGCCCGGAGTGCTGCCCTGCTCTGTCCCGCCGGCTCCCTCCCGGCCTGGGTTTGGGGCTTGGGGTTTTTTTGGCCTTCAGGTGTCTCCTGAGCAACTGCTGCCCTAGGAGACTTTCGACGTCGCTCTTCAGCTGGAGAACAGCTCGTGGCAAGGCCCAGTGCACTGCGTGGTCCCTCTCGCCTGTTTTGTTCCTCATGGTGCCTTCTCTGTGCACCTTTGAAGATGTCCTGTTATTATTATTTACAGCATATGTTAGATTTCCTTTTCCTCAAGTGTTGTGTTGCACAGTTTCACTAGTGCTTGTAATTATAGTTGTCGTCTGTCTCTTTTTGCGTGTACTGATCTGTTGATAGAAATAAGTATATCTTGTGTGCTATCATAGGTGTCTTTGAGGTGTTCAAAAAGAGTATTTTAAAATAAAACATTCTTACAACTGTGTGGAGATGCAAAATATTTCTTTTTCAGATTGCGATTCCTGGTAACATTCGATTAAGATGTATTTCCTGGAATAAGGATCAAGGTTTCATAGCCTGTGGTGGAGAGGATGGGTTACTGAAAGTTTTAAAATTAGAAACACAGACAGGTAAATTTTTTTTGTTTTTTTTTAAGAACAAAATCCACCATACTTCACAAAGCATGACTCCTTCCACAAGTTACTTGACAATATTGCATACTTTTTAAATCTATACATAGATAGTTCTGTATTTGCATAAACATCGAATATGCTGTCACTTCCTTTTGAACACTGTTTTCCTCCAGCTTGTCTTGCATGGCACATGTAATTTGTCTACCTCTTATATCTGCTGAAGTTGTCTTCAGTGCTGATTCTTTTTCAGGGCATGTGTTTAATGCTTGTTCTTTTTGTATAGGCTTCCAGTTTATTTTGGAATTTACTTCATTATTTCTCGATTTTGTTTGAATGTTCTCTACCATCTTCATTATTTTGGGGACAAAGCTGTGTATTTTTTTTTTTTAATAAATATGTTCCAAGAAGAGTAAAATCTAATATATTTTCAAATTCTTTTAAACCTTTTTCTGAATGTAACAAAATGTGATAGCGATAGTTGTTATGGTGTTTTTTGTTGTTGTTTTCCTGAAAAACTGCTAGACCATAAAGACTATATGAGTTTGGATGACAGATGTGAATAGCAAACACATTGAACTGAGGGGTGGAAAATTCATCCTGCAGTTACAATATATATACTTTTTGGTGAATAATTTTATCTGTTTAAATAGTGATTAGAGCTGCAATATTCATAGAGACGTGGTAATATGTATTGCTTTATTAGGTTTATTTTATAGCTATTTTTGTTATTTTTAGATGAAGCAAAAATAAAGGGACTTGCAGCTCCTAGCAATCTTTCTGTGAATCAAACTCTTGAAGGTCATAGTGGTAAGTTTCTTTGGGCATTTAATATACTTCTGATTAGAATAAAAAATACGAGATTTTGTGAAGTTGATAGAGTAATTTTGCTATGACTTTTTATTATAAGCCTGAAATAAAGACTATCAGTATTCAACTCAGGTATGTAACAGCTTGGCTATCTATTTTTCGCAAGTTATCTGATGAACGACCTACAGTCAGTTGTTCATGATCTGTGAGTGAATTACTGGGTTGAGAATCAAACTGGTCTAGCCTTACTTAAGTTCTCCTGGCTGATACTGTATGAGTGATACAGGACACATGCTGCACAAAACAAGCTCTGCTCTGCCTGTTATGATTTAAAGTTTTGCTTACAGATTTTGCAAGGTTACATCTGTGAACTTTGACATTATGGCCTAACCTGTGTTTTGTTTTACCTCAGGCCTTGCTTTTTCCAAATTATTTGGTCCCCATTCATTATCCTGAGAAGGAAATACTGATTTCTATTTAAGTGGATGATTCTATTGTGTGTGTTCTATTACAGAGGGACTTCTTTTTCTTTTTAGTCATGCAGTGCTGCTGGTATAGTACTTGTAATCTCTGACTTCAGCATGGTTAATCTGGAAGTGCTACTCATTTGCATGGGACTGGAATATATTTTTAGGTGTTTACTTAAAAGATCATGATAGATTTGCTCCCATAGATTTGTTCACTCTACTGCCTTGGTAGATGACAGATAAAGAATGCTTTATAGCAGAAGAGAAAAGCTAAACTGATGGGCAGTTGATGCTGGAATTGCTCAGTTAAAGAAACAATGATGTCCTACTGTGGTTTAAAAAAAAAAAAGGAGAACAATTTGCTCTTTCACTGTATATTAAAGTTTTAAACTCTGTACGATAGGCTAAAATCAGACATGAGACTAAAAGCCTTCTTAAGCATTTTTTCTAGCAACATGTGTGGATAAGCCTGTTGTTTTTTGTTTTTGTTTTTTTAATAGTGTCCTTGAGATTTGCTTACATGTTATAGTAGCTTTAAATTTTCTTCTGAAGAAATCGAAGTTAGTTCGGTGAACCTGATCTCTGTCTTAAATATATCTTCATTTTCCCTTTATTGAGAAATTACAGAATGTGTACATATGTAGACTGCAGTATAGTATACAGACAAAGTTTAGCGAGTTTAGAAAATGGGCTAGAGAAGGATAATGTGTGAATACAGGGAAATTAGACAGGGAGGAATTAAATTCTTATGTGACAAATGTTACATGGTCATCATCCGTGGACAGTGGGATATGAAGAGAATGCTAAAATCCTTACATTTTTTGAAGAAATGGTCTTTTTATGAGGATTTGCAATTGAAACCTGTCAACAGTCATGTTATTTTAGGGGCCTGGTTAAATATGATAAAAAAAAATGAATTGTGAGGAATTGATTTAGTGGATATTTTGAATGGATGTCTTCAATTCTGAAATAGATTACTGTTACTTCAAAAATCCCTGACATTCAGGATATCTTTGATTGCATCTGTTGGTAAAGTTCATGACTGAAATGCTGAAAAATTGAAAGGATACAGAAGAAATGGATGAGAGGGCATGAAAGCGTGTGATGCTTGAAGTGGCCAAGTTCATATCCAGTGTTGACCTGATGAAATTAAGACCTGATGAAATAGAAGCAGTTTGAAGATGTTTCAAGTCAAGTCAAATATTTATGAGTAGAATCCCATATGAGACTTGAGGGTCTGAAGGAATTGTGTGTGGAGTGCTCTTTTTGGTAGTTGTGAGGGAGAGTTTGTTTCAAAAGTGCAGCACTACTGAGGATCAAACTACGAAGAGGAAGAAAAAAGCAAAACTTCTTACGACAGTAAAGTTTTGTCAGCTTCCCGTACTAGCACGTCAGAGGCAGTCAGAAACCACAAAACTATGATTTGGGTTTTGTGTATTGAAGCAATATTCTGAGCAGAGTGTGGAGAGGGTGTTA